ATTTTATGTATTTTTGTATTTTCATAAAAAAGTTGTAGAATAAAAAATTGTAGAATATTTTGTATTTATTGTATATATTTGCAATTATTATAAAGAATAAATTGATATTTTTATATCTTCCTAAAAATCGTATACTTACTAAAATAAAACTGACAATAATAAAACTAATAATTAAGCCAGTTTTACTTCAACGTCTTTATTTTTTCATTATTTAATAATTATTATATACTTGATCTTTTAATAAATTGTTGAAATTAGTTAATGATTTATTAATTTTATATACTTTTAATTATTTTTATTCATAAATTAAATACTTTTAAAGGAGATACGATTTAGGCGACTAGTTGTCTCAATATTCTCAATCGTACTTTTTAACGTGTTACAAAAAGACTTGTAGTAAATTAATTTGTCATTGGAAAAAGTTGATCATGCAATAATAAGTAACATCAAGTTACAAGTTACAAATGTTCAAGCAATGTATCAAACGGAAAATATAATAAAAGCTAGCTTAAGTGGTATGCATTCGGCAACTCTCTTGTATAATACATAAACCAAAAATTGCAACGATAACAAGTTTGAAACAGTTTTGAAACAAGTTTAAACAATTCTGAAACAATTGGTACATATTGTATTCAAATGCAATGCTTGTGGCTAACACGGCAATGTTTTATTTTTATTACTTGTATTATTATTTCTATTATTGTCGATACCATTATATACGATTTGTCATTTAATTAACTGTACATTCTAATAATAATAATGTTATGCAATTATTCTTGGTTTTTGTGCACAAATGGCGGTGCACCTTACAAATTGAATGATTGAAAATATATATTGGTATTTCTGTAGTAATATTTACACGTGTCGAAATTCCATTTCCATTGGTTCTCGTCAGATCCGCTATTCGATTATCATACTCTATTGGATGGTGATCTCATTGGTGGCATTATCCCTGATATCGATTTCCACGATCAAATATAGGAATTCGCTTTTCAGTTGGAATCGGGATGATCAGAAGTAGAATAGAACTGTATCAATAAATAACCGATCAAATATTTGTAGGTAATTCGATCTGTTCGTGTTACTTGAAGAAAGATCCATATTAAGAGGGATAATGGGAAAATAAATCACTACATTACATTTTTAAAAAATAATCATTTTAGAAATAATAAACTTGTAATAAACTTATGTAATAATTAAAATCGATTAATTATTATATTTATGTCTTAAACTTTATTTTCGAAAATAAAGTCAAATATACGATTATAAATTATTCCGTGCAAAAATAAATATAAATTTAATGGTCATTCGCCACGATCAACATTCGCTATCAATGTCCCTACCGAAAACGCCATTCGATTGTCAGTATCCTTAATAATGAAATTTGTTATGCCTGGCAGCCATACGTTTCGCCGTGCGGTCTGGAGTAAATATTAAGCATATATTTTAACGCCCCTGGCAACGCGCCCTGTGTGGTGGTCCCCACGGTTCGCTAAAATCCCGACGTCACAAATGCGGTATGTAGCACGGTGGCCGATGGCGCGACCGTTGCTGCTCCAAAATCGATTTTGTCGAAATCGAATGGTCAAAATGCAACCCGGCTCCGTCCGCTTTTACGACGTAACTAGATGCGTCGAAACCATTTGTGACATGTTATTTCTGGTTTTTGTTTTTTTCAAGTAAAGCACAGAGAGAAGCGTACATTTCACACCGAGGTATGAGTTTTCAATTCGCGTGACAGCCACGTTGTTTAAATAACATCAAAAACATTAGTGACGAACTAAACGAGAGAAACGAGCTCTCCCTTCGCATAATGGGTTTAATATAATATTCACGACGGTAATCCACGGTGTCTTTCATCAGGTTTCCGCATTCGTGATAAATTTAATCTTCAACGCTTTGTAACGAGGGCTCGTATAACGCACGCGTCCCGAAATGAAGAAAAAGAGGTATGGGAGAAACGATTCTAAAGGATAATATAGAAACGCAAGCGTTAGAGCTACGTATGGATAAGAGCTTTTTGTCAGGAATATTCATTGGCACGATTTTCGTGTGCCGATGGAATGAACTTCCGTGATAAAGTTATCGTTGCATACATGGAGTAGATCGCGTCCAGTTTCCCTCCAGTTACAGAGTCGTGCAAACTGCGATGTCAAAAGTATCACTCAATCTTCGATCTTGGACTATCGCCGGCGGACATAACGACGTTGTATTAACATTGATTAAATTTCTTGAAAGAAATTTTTCTAAAAAATATTTTTATCGTGATATTTACTCTTTTTCCATATATTATTTTTATCAAATTATTCTGTAGCGTTACTACATTTGCACTTTATCCACCTCCGTATTTGATTTGCGTTTGATATATCACCGTCAATAACAGTCGCCTCTCTACGTTTACAAAAAAAAAAAAAGGAAAAAGAATATTACACATTTTTACGTCAATCTAAAGCAAAACCATGTTGTTATTCATCACCATTTATTTGATCCATTACGATGGAATATCGGTCGGTCACCGATCGTCGATGACCCCGAGCGAACGTGTTAGCCGGTGAATGTTATAGCGACCGTTGTATCTTTCAACGATAAAACAAAAATCAGGACATCCGTGTCATGCTGCCTATCCATCCTGGCTCACCGAACGTAGCCTTCATTTCGAGATAAATAATTCCATCCAACCGGCGAACGATTCACGCCATTCCGGATTCAGTGATAAATGAGTAGTACGAATGGAAGAGAAGGAGGGTCTTATGCATATACGTGCATGTATTATTATGTACTTTTACGTGATTTCTCTCTCCGTCTCTCTCCAGATTTTAGCCGTGTAGCGTCCGTTTTACATTATCATTTCATTGCGTGGCTATTCTGCAACGATTATGTGAGATTAACTCACGTTTGCGTGAGATTACAACAGATCTTCACATATCCCGTATTTTCGTATTTTAATGAACATTTTCTGAATTACGTTTACGCGCTAACCTAATTTAGACTACTTTTTTACGCTGCCCGTACGTTTCGCGTAATCAATTCTTTTCTTTTTGTTAAGATATTTTGTCGTGTATTTTGTATTTTTTAGGATTAAGAGAGCTTGGTATTGGATTGCGTAAATGTTAAGTCACGAAAGAAACTCGTCAAAAGTAATGATCTATCTCGCCCGGACGTCCACCTTTGCTTCACATGCGGGTAGGGTATTGAAAATCGCGATACAGGGACACACGGATGCGAGAGAGGAAGCGAGAGAGGGATTGAGAGTGAGGGACCGATGTGGAGGGCGGGGGTGGCAGGAGGAGAAAGGGGCACGAAGAGGACGAGTCACAAAGAGAGAGGCGATCGGGGAGGAGAGCGAGAGGTGGTGAGAGGGCGAGTATCGCGATACTCCATCGGACAGAAATCGATACAGGGACGGCCGGGGTAACCGGGTGCGAGGGGGGACGGGTTGCCTGCCGGGGGTTTCTGTATTTTTCGTGAAAGCATTACGAACTCGTCCGCAAATATCTCCGGCGCATGGCTCTCAGCTATGCTCGAGGATTTGCGCGACAGCTCCCGATGGCCGGCTCTCCTCCGCGAGTTGCCGATGCTACCGACAGGTATCGAATTTCATTCCGAAACTAATTCCCGACGTGTCGAAGATCGACGCGTCTCTCTCTCTCTCTCTCTCTACTATTATCAACGAAGCGATGGGAAGATGTATTATAGCCGAGGGAAGTCACCTCGACAATTTCTGACACGTTTTTCCGAGATGTCGGACTAATCGTCTAGATAGATCCCTTCCCGTCACGTCATCGTGTTCCATCTTTCACAGTTTCGCAACTGTTACATTTTTGAAAACGGCCGATCGACGTTTTATCGGGGAAAGGAAATTTCTCCACTCTTAGTGTCGAATGAGAACCACCGTGCTCTTCGCCACGTAGTGTTGGCAGAGTGCTCGTGATCGATTACTCGTCATCCGCGCGCGATGTCCCGAGTTCGACGCCCACCCGCCCACTGCCAAACCAAACGTATTCCTTCCTTTTTTCCTCCACTCTGTTTTTCCCGCTCCTGCTCTCGCATTCGTCCTCGCTCCTACCTTCCACGTGGTCATCGACCGTGGACCGTGGACCATCGGCGTCGTGCGCGGACGTAGATGCTCGCCGCGAATGGACGCATTTTTCGCCTTTTTCACCTTTCTTTCCACGGCCGCGGCCCCAGGCAAGGGTCGGGTTATTCTGCAAGTTCACGGAGCGTCAAATCGAAGTCACTTTCCCCAAACGCCTCTTCTCGCTTCGATGGAGACTGCGAATTTTATTTTGTCCTTTACACACGTTCGTGTGTGCCTGGAGAATGGAAATGCGGTGACTCAATTCGAACACCCATTCGAAGACTCATTTAAAGCTGTGGTAACATTAGTTTTTCTCTATCTTTGTATTGTGGAATACAACATTTTCAGGAGATACAATATCGATATTGTATTTCCCGAAAATTTTGTTCAAGTCTTGAAATGAAATTTCCATTTTTGCTTACAATGTATAACGTAAAGTTATTTCTCTTTTACCTTACATTTATTCATTTTGTGAAACTGAATATAAGAAACAATTTTGTCACAATTGAACAATTCGTTGAACAATTCATGAAACGATTGTTGAATAAACGAGTTTGCCTTTACTTATTTGTAGATACTGCGATGCTATTTCCGCAAACAATTTTATTTTCTTTACACGAATATGAGACAGTTTTATTAACTGTAAAATAAGACGCGAGAGAAATTTCCAGTTTGCGAACCGTTTTATTTCCTCAACATTGCGGAATAACTCATTGTTGCAAAGGGGAGAGCGTTGTCGGACCGAAGTTTATAACAAGTGAGACTTGCTACCAAAGTTTTGCCGGGACTTTTAGATATATTCTCCGCGTGAAAGTCCATCTAAAATTGTAGATCCTACGTTAACGACTCCAAGTCAACGCCGAAGAACCTCGACGCTTCTTCCAAATTACTTGGCGAGAAGTACAGTATTTTATAAACTTACCGGTCAGTAGGAGCAGCAATAATGTCGAATCCATTCCCAAAACCCTGAGTATATCCGGATGGAATCAGCTCAACACATTCTTGAAACTTTCCTGAAACAGAATACACAGTGAGTGAATTAGAACTATAAGCTTTTAATTCAAAGTCTCTGTCAATCAATAATTGAACAACGCAAAATTGAAGAGAAGTTAAACGAATTCTAATCCGTTAATATTATATGTATTTCCGAACAGAATTCTACTTTTAATTATGATTGCTAAAATACACATCGACGATTATAGTTTATTGGGATTCTCTCTCTCTCTCTCTCTCTCTCTCTCTCAGCATGATTATAGCGGAAGTGTCGAGTGACAATTACTACAATCACATGCAATTGGATAGTTCACGGAACTATGATAAAACGCTTGGTTTGCACGACGTCAGGAACATATGTAGCGCGTTGCATCAAATGGTCACGGTTTGGACATGGGTCGATGGCCAAAGTCGGACAGGACAGTGGTAAAGAGCAGAAAGGTAGAACCCCCCGCCGTGGGGGTTGGTCGGACGAAACGCGTTTCGCTCGGAACGAGAGCGTCAGTAGTAGAATTCAGGGCAGAGGGAATTGCGAGGAGAGGGGAAGGAGAACGTTCCCGTACCGGAAGTGCAACGGCGGCCATTTTTCACGGCGCGGACGTCCGTTTCCGGTCCACGATCACCACGAAATACAAACAAAAATGGCAAACTCGGGATGAAGACGAGGGCGGGACGAGCAGGAGGTCCGGGAGATACGGAACGAAAGAGGAAAATGGGAAAGACGGAAATCAAGTGCCGAGAGACAGAGGGGGCCGCGACGCGGAAAAAGGACGACTAGCTTGACGACACGACGGTGGTCCCTGTCGTCCAATGGGTTTCCCTTTTTCCATTTTTTTTTCCTCCTTCTTTTTTCCGCTGCTCCCTTTTCCATTCTCGCTGCTATGTCCGTGTTACACGTGTAGAATACTCTCTTCGATCATACGATATCTTTAAGATTCTTTTTAGCTCTAAAAAGCTTCCTTTGTTCCTTCAAGCGAGATCGAATTTTTATGATACTTAGCGTTAGATGTATATTGGCAAGATATATTATAGATTTTATATATCTATACATTTATCACACAGCTGTTTGGATGAGTTATACTGTAATCAGTATCGCCTCTGACACTAAATCTTTAAAGTCATGAAAGAATGAAAGGAGAAATAGGAAGAATAAAGCGGTCTTAAACATCAAATATTAACTTTAATCTCACTTTAATAGATTTTTTCTTCTTTTCTAAGATAAAAAGACCGAAGAATGAATTAAACTGCGGTCAAAGTGAACTTATATTACGTTCACAATAACGCAACGTAGAGAATTAAATGACGACGCATGATTAGCGGATAAATGCATTTTAACCTATCGTAATGAAAAAGAAAGGAGGATAACCGACTTGAGCGGTAATAATCTGAGTTCTACGGATATAAGGTAGTCGTCTTTGCCGTTCGACGCCAAGGGGAACACCCGGCATCCTTGCCAATCTCCGCCCTTTGCCGTTCTCAATTTCCATCGCTCTCCTCGTATAATAAAGCCTCTTTGTCTTCTCTGTTACGGCGACGTGGTCTCTCTTTTCGCGGTTCACCACCGCCGAGAAACGGGAATGGAAATTTAGTTTTCTAGGACGGGGCACGTCTTCGGACCGGACGATTATCGTAACGGACGACAAGGATGAATGAGCTCAACGTAACTTGGCACCAATCTGAGCACAAACGAGCTTTTGAAGTTCACCATGGTTATCATAACCTGAGCTTATCAGAAAGATTAAAGCAGGCGATATGCGAATATGAGAATCGTGGGTTCTTATCCTTATCGAAAACTTGGCAAGTCCATTATTTGTCTCTCCATTCAATTTTTCAAACTAAAGTACGTGGGCAGTTTGATAAGTCAGTGACTTTTTTATTTTTTTATTTTAACCAAAATTTGACTTATTTTTCAGCATAGTTTCTATTCAAAAAGTTACTCACTTATCAAACTGCTCACGTATTCCTGATCAGAGTCATACAAAGGAACTTTTGCAGTTTAACTGATCACGCAGATTCTCAATTCTCGATAATGTTGAAAATCTAAAACGTTAAAACATTACATGTACGAGTTTTCTAATTATATTATTGTCAAACTCGTATTGATAAACTTCAGGACTTTAATGTCAATTTTTACATATATCTATAATAAGATTTTGTCATTATTTTCTTAGTGAATCTTATAAAAATAACGTGGCATCTAGTTCATTGAACAGTTACCAATTTTCGATCTTGGAGGTGAGGGGGCGATTCGGTAAGCTGGCACGAGCAATTCCGCAGAAGTTGAATGGCTGTGCGCGCGCGAGCAGTAAGACAAGGACGGGCAAGAGTTATGCATTATGATTCGCTCCGTTCTCTCCCTTGCAACCCTCCAGCGCCAACCTAATAACGTCACTTGTTGCACGAGCCCCCCTGACCTCCACACTAACCCCGGCGGGTTTTCTCTCTCGCTTCGTCTTGCGCGAAACTATCGCCTATCCGGCACGGGAAAGTCCCGTCTCAAGGATACCACCCCGTCTTATGAATTTCATTTATCTCGAGCGCCCGCCGTGAACGCGCGCACACACACACACAAACCGTGCGTCGAATTTACTTCGTGCGTGAGTACACATTCAAGCGTACGTAACGACACTCGACATCTCCATTCACGAATCGCAGATCGCTGACGTCGAGCATCTCCACACTGAGAGAAAGGATTTTATTAATTTAGCAAGCCACCAGTACCTTTTTTAACCGGTGATATGTGACAACAAATTTTGCTCTTGTGTTTGCTGCTAGTCTGTTACCAATCAATTAGTAACAGAAGTAAACTATATGGAATATCTAATCTATTTTTTAGATAGACTTTAGGCTCGTTTACAGACAGAATTCGTAGATGATCGTGGAGTCCTAAGTTGTAGGAAAGCACAGTCAAATATAGGGAGAATGATTAGAATTGATCAATTTCTTACGATTTGGAATCCTGCAATCGTTACGACTTTTATATATATTATTTGTTACATTGATGAATTAATTTGCAATCACAAAACGTAACAAATCGATCTGTTTTTTAACAAATATCCCATTTGCTTTCCCTTGATTTGTTCCTATAACAAAATCATTTCTCTCAGTGCATCGACGAACTTCTGTTCTTTACGCACGATCGCTAATACTATGCAGCTTCTCTACTTTTCGTATTCTTTGGATGCCTTTTATGATTCGCTTAGATCTCACGAACGGTGGATCTCCAGCATCGTAATTATAGCGAGGAAGCATCGAGAGAAATTGAACAATTGAAGGCTAAATCTACATTTTTTTTCCTCTCGCTTATTTCATAACGATGAAATGCAATATCCTTTATCGCGTGTACAATATTGGCATACATCGTACCTCTGCGAATTTATTTGAACAAAAAAAAAAAACGTACATGGGGAACGTTCAGGATCCTATTGCTTTCGACTGCATGTTCTAAATTGTATACTGATAATTTAGCGATATGATAGTTTTTTAGTAAAGGATTCATAACTATTCGATCGACATTGGTAGAAAGATGGCGGCATAGTTCTGTCTAACTACGAGAATACCGTAAACGTGAAACGAATCAATTTGTCCCTGGAATTTTTTAATTAAACGTTTCCCTTTCTTTACCTCGTTACGCGTGCGGCTAGCCATTGCGTGACTAGTTTACACATTGCATTCGTACATGTACAAATGCAATTTGTGTACGTGTATGTGTGTGTGTGGATGTGCGTGTGTGTAAAAGTAATACAAGAATCTTACGAAACTCAAATTTTTTTACTTTACAAAGAAAACATGTTTAGAGAGAATTTTTACGACACTTTATCACTTTTACCTTTAACTAGGTAAGTGGCAACAGCACTCTGTTCATAATTATCATCAAACCTGAAAAAGGAAAAAAAAAACGAATTGCCTAGAAAGTGCCTTAAAGTGAATTATTTTTACATTCCTCTGTCTCATAAGAATATAAATATAACGTAAATTTATTAAACTTTATATATACTATTGAAAAATATAAAAATAAAATTTGTTTGAGATATTCTAAGCACTCCACTAACTTAAAGGTTAATCTTTATTACGATAAGGCGACAGTGGCGTTTATCTGTCCTGTTTATCTTACACGTTTCGTTGAACAATGCAAAATTCGTATGTAGTAGAAAGCATTGTATCATTTATTATTTTCTTGGATAACGCGTTTACAAGACAATAATTCAGTTGCATGAGTCGTAAAATCGCGGTATCGTGAAATCACGTCTCTCGAGAACGCGCGGGTATGAAGGACGTAAAGGATAACCGTAAAGGGAGATTGTTCGAATGACTCTGCGCTCTTTGCGCGTCGGACGCCCCATCGTGGCGCATCGTTAACGAAACTTCGTTGGAATTTCAGCACGCCATTCCTCACCGCGCAATCACCGCCATATATCACGAAAACCACGCCGAAGTATCAACCTGACACGTTTGCACGTTAATGCGGAAATGATCTCAAGTACACTCTGTCTGACAGAGAATTTATCAAATGTTCTCAATGGTATTGAGGAGACTTTGAATCAAATTGATTGCGAATGTACGATTTATATGGAATGTATAGTTGCATTAAATACGATTGTGTGCGAAGATTCTGTGATCTATACTGAGAAAAATATACTTAAAAATTTATTTGTGAGATATATTTATTTTACTGTAATAAATCCTTGTTTAAATATAGCGAAATAAAATTTTATTCCTAGCAAATAAATTATTTACTTTCGTTCTTTTATAATTAATGTGATGTGTTTCATAGAAATGTGTATTTATCACTGTACTCAAATTTTTTACAATTAACGAATAATGAAAAAAACGTTACATGTAATATTTGCTTGCGAATATTTTGACTTTTTTTCCAGTAAATAATAACACTCTTAAATACAATATTTAGCAATAAAATTTGCTAAGAATATTTTAATATTGTTTATAAATTTGCATATTCGAATCACAGATCTTCGCTCTGAAAATTAAACTTGTTGTAAACAATTTAAATTCTACGAAT